AAAAAATGAAGAAATTACTCAGTCAAAATATAAAAAAGTTCCTGAATTTCCTTAACAAGTAAAAACAGAATTAGAAAAATGGTTACAATTTTTAAAATTTTGGGAAAAAATGGAAATTGATTAATTGATCCTCACTTTGAATTTGATTATTATTATTATTATCTGCTCAAAGGGATTTGACTTGTTGAAAAATTCAAATTTTTGAAATTTGTAAAAAAAATAAATAAATAAATAAATAAATAAAATTAAATTAAGATTAATTTAATGTATTTCATTTTAAATACAGTTTTGTTATGTTATCCAAGTGTTCATTTAGTATGTTTCATATTTTGTGGGAGGTAATTTGGCTTGAAACTTGCATGAGATTGTTCTTGATTTTGAATTTTGATCAAATTTAGTATGTTTCATATTTTCCTTTGACTAGTTTTTGGGTCTTTCTTGATTTTTCCTACTAACCATTTTTATTAATTTGGCCTTCTCATATTCTTTTTTTTTTTTTAAGTGATATTGAATTGGATTGGTTGAACAATTTAATAAAAGTGTTAGTTCATCTTGTGCACATGCACAAATTAGACAAAAAATTATAATACAAACTTTTTATATAAAACTATAATAACTAAAATCAAAAGTTTTTAATAAAAATATATCACATTTATAATTAAATTATTAGCATTTGTAAAAATGATAGTTGCATATGATATTAAAAGTAACATCATACACAATAATAAATAGCATCAAATATGGTTCTCACACCAGAACAAATTTTAATTTGAACCAACTCCTTTATATCTTCCCTATATATAATTCTCGAATGCGTTGAGCCTACGTGGCAGCTTCTGGTGCTTCGAAATCCTACTTGGCGAAAAATCATGCTTCGTAATTAGGTTTGGACAAATAATATTGATATATTAATAAATAATAATCTAGGTTCGGATATTCTATAAATATTGTTTAGCTAATTTAGGTATTTTCATATCAATTGTACTAATATAACCCTTTAATTCTTTGTAATACTTACATAGTAAGTCACTAATATATCTCTGACTTTTGATTTGCTTCCTCCAATTAGCTATTGAATTGTAAATGTATTTTAAAAGTTGATAACTTTTGTATTTTTTATCGGTTTCTTACATATATAATGTATCAAATTAATCATCTTTTGATGATCTTCGATTTGACATCCATATTGTATATATGAAATAAATAAATTATATTTATTTTTATAATAATAAAAAATAATAATATTTATTAAAATTTATTAGAAAAATAAAATTATTTCTCAACTGATATATTTGTGTTTAATGTAGTTATTTGTTGTAAGTTAAGAAATTTATTATACTATAACACATGTAAGTCACACAAATAAAAAGTGTCATACTAACTATATAATAATATATATTTTTATAAAAGGTATTTAAATTTTCAACTATTTTTTCTCATTAATTTTATATTTTAAGAAAAAAAATTAGCACACACCCGTGTAATACACGGGCGTTGTACTAGTATATATTAAACTAAGAATTTATTTTTTTATGTATTAATTATAAAATTATAAGTTTTTAAGTCATGAATCATGCAAAAATATTCACCTACCTATTATGAGCATATATTAAATAAATTATGGCTATTTGTTACATGTATAATTCTTCATTTTTAATTATATAATCTCCTGCAAGGGTACAACACATTATTTTATTTTGCTTAGAGTTATAGGCAGTTAATTATTGTTTGAAATTTCACTTTAAAAAATCATACTATTTGCGATTGTAGTTATTCGATTCATAAAAGGACATTTGGTCATTTTTTAATCAAATATATTTATTATAATATATGTTTATGTCATTAATTTATCAAGTAATTAAAGACTAATAATTTGTTAATAAAGGCTAATTCCAAGTGATTCAATAATATACATTTATAATAATAGTTAATTTTTAAGAGGATATGGTGTCTGAAGTAATATGATCATGCCACATGTATTATCAGTCTTTGTGATAGTACTTTGTGCTGCTCAAAGTACTTATTATCAGTCTTTGTGATAGTACTTTGTGCCTGGGATTAGGGTTGTAAACGAATCGAATCAAAGCGAATACCCAGAGATTCGATTCGATTCGTTTAAAATATTCGAAGCTTCGATTCGTGATTCGATTCGATAACGAATTCATTTTTTGATTCGTATTCGATTCGTTTAGAATATTCGAACATATTCGATTCGATTCGAAATTCGTTTTCAAAAAAATATTATAATTAAAAAATATTATAATTACAAAAATAAATTTTATTTCATATATTTTTAGAAAATTTTGCCAATTTATGATGTTTTTACTTTTTATGTCATAAAAATATTAGGAATATAACAATATATATATACATATATTATAAGCAAAATGTATATTATATATAATTTGTATAAAAATATTATAATTACAAAAATAAATTTTATTTTTCATATATTTTTAGAAAAAATTGTTAATTTATGATGTTTTTACTTTTTATGTCATAAAAGGAATATAACAATATATATATATATACATATATCATAAACAAAATGTATATTATGTATAATTTGTAAAATTTATATAATTATTGTTAACGAATCGAATATTCAAATTTCGAATCGAATATCTACACATTCGAATTCGAATTCGTTATAATTTCGAATCTAAAACATCATTCGAATTCGAATATTTCGAATTCGAATCACGAATATCGAATTCGAATCACGAATATCGAATTCGAATCACGAATCGAATCAAAAATGTTTGATTTGTTTACAACCCTACCTGGGATGTTTTATCAAAAAAAAAAAAGTACAAGAAATTAAATGGCATGGTCGCAGTATGAACATAATCATTAAATATCCCATCTCCCACCCAAAGTCACAAATAATACTATGAACATATTTTAGTTGCACTAGAAAATCTTAACCTTTAGATTTACCTACAATTTCCCAAACCAGAGAGTTACTAATAACTCATCACCGCAATTTTCTTTTTCTCTCAGAAACCAAAAAATCAGCTGCCTTTGTAAATACAGTCAATAAGAAGTTAGGTTTTGATAATAGATGCACCACAGTGGATCTTTTTGGTCTTTTTAACTCCCCACTTTTATTTGACAAAAGTCGGGACTTTTCAAAAGGTCAACTTAAATTTTTTTGAAATTCTTTTCATATCAGTGGCGCTACTCAACTTAAATCACATAAATAACATAAATCATACTAAATCATATGATAGGACA